TTCTGCACTTTGACTGGAGTCCACCTGTGATCAATGCAATTGATCAGATGTGATTTGGAAAGATGCACACCTGTCTATGTATGGTCTCACAGCTGACAATGCATATCAGAGCAAAAACCAAACCATGAGAAGGAAGGAACCGCCTGCAGAGTTCACAGACAGGATTGTGTCGAGGCTCAGATCTGAGGAAGGATACGAAGCAATCTGCCGCATTGAAGGTTCCCAGGAGCACAGTGGCCTCCATCATTCTGAAAGGGAGGAAGTTTTGAACAACCAGGACTCTTTCTACAGCTGGCCATCTGGCCAATCTGAGCAATCAGGGCAGAAGGGCCTTGGTAAGACGGTGACCAAGAACCCGATGGTCACTCTGGCTGAGACCCTGTGTGGAGATGGAGAAACTTCCAGAAGGACAACCATCACTGCAACACTCCACCGATATGGGCTTTATGGCAGCGAGGAGACGAATGCCTCTCCTCAGTGAAAGTTTGCAAAAAAACTCATCTAAGGGACTCTGGTCTGATGAAACCATGATTGAACTGTTTGGCCAACAGGACAATGACCCTAAACACACACCCAAGACAATGCAGGAGTGGTTTAGGGAAAACTTTGTGGATGTCCTTGAGTGGCCCAGCCAGAGCCCTGACTTAAACCCAGTCGAACGTCTCTGGAGAGACCTGAAAACATCCACCAATGGCCCCTATCCAACCTGACAGAGCTTGAGAGGATCTGCAGAGATGAATGGTAGAAAATCCCCAAATCCAGATGTGCAAAGTTTGTCACCTCATACCATGTAATCGCTGCTAAAGGTATTCTAAGTACTGAGTAAAGGGTCTTAGTACTTACAGTATGTCAATGTGATATATCAGTTCTTTCCTTTTTTTTTTAAGTTATTCTTTTGGGCATAGAAAAGATGCCTTTATTAGAGTAGCAGTGAGAGAGAGACGGGAAAGTTTGGGGTGAGAGAGAGTGGGGATGACATGCAGCAAAGGGGCGTGGGTTGGATTCGAACCCAGGCCACTGCGGTAAAGACTGAGTCCTAATAATACACGCTCTACCAGGTGAGCCACCGAGTCACCCCAGTTTTTTCTTTTTAATAAGTTCTTAAAAACTTTAAAAACTTCTAAAATTCTGTTTTCACTTTGTCATTATCACGTACTGACTGTAGACTGGTGAGGGAAAAATGAATTTAAATGATTCTAGCTGAAGGCTTGAAATTGAAGGGGTCTGAACTGTTCGTGAATACATGGAACTCGGCCTTTAAAAAAAAAACAAAAAGAAACTATACATTCGTGTCCCATCTTTAAAGTTTTGAGAGTAGGAGTTAGTGGGAATGGGCTTGGAGCTAGGTGGAAAGTCAGAAAATGCTGAGAAACTATGACATTGTTGTGTATTCATTGGATTTTTTTTGACGGTAAGAAAAAAATATTGAATAAGGCCAGCCTTGTCCATCAATAAACCACAACTATGATTGTTTGGAGCAACAGAGGAAATTGTCGGAGATCTCAGGATTGGCCAATTTTAGCCACAATGATAAAGCTGAAAAAGAGGAAACTAAGATGACATGGAATCTTCTACACACATAAAGGCCTTAAATGCTTTTGAAATACACAAGCTGTCCCTTTGGGTTTCTTACTCATTTGTGCATTCATCATTATACCGAGTTATAACCCACAAGTGTTTTGAGCCTGGTCTAAATATTGCAGTGCCTTCCAAACCTCCTTGACTTTGCTGAAGTAAAGTGGCACTGCAATCATATTATTTTGGCATTTCAGCACAGAATACTTGAAAAAGTCCAGTTTAATAGCAAGTGTGCAACAGTGTTGTTTTTCCACATGCCTCTGGTGCCTGTACCGTCAAACGTCCACCGGCTTGCCGACTGGAATATGTGACTTTTCCAGAGACGTGATCAGCTGAAAAGCTGCCTGTAACACTGACAGGCTCCAATATGAATAAGCAAACAGTTGCTTTAAACGGTGACTGCTTTAAACATATTGAGTTTTATTTTAAATCCAACAAAGATGCACACACACACACACACACACACACACGCACAAAGAGATATGAGGAAGAGATGATTCAGTCTGGTGCTCACTGGGCCATTGTCGCTGCCACAGTGAGGAATATTACTCCACAGTGGAGCTTAACAGCTGACCAAATCTGTCGCTGTTTTTCTCCTGCTTCTTTTTTGTGGCTTTGGAAGTTTGTTTATGACGATGCGCTTCATCTGACAGATATGATATGATAATAGACACCAATATCAGTCATCATTTTTTGTCTATTAATAGATTTTAAATTTGTGAAGGGACAAATCCATGCAAAAGAACACAAAACGACTGCACAGTAAAATAAAACATGAGGGATAAAGGTGTAGAATAAAGTGCACAAAATTTATTTCACAGAACAAATCTAAAAATACTGCGGTGAACAAAAGCCCCCATGCACAGCCAATATGAGTGGTCAGGAGCTGGTTGGTCGCAGGAACAACTACAGTGAAAATGAAACTTGACCGTGGCACACTGATGACTTCACTGCGATTTTTACTGAGAGCGAACAACACATTTCGCCTGTGGCTTCTTCAAGTTCACGACAATTACAAGAGTGTTCACAGGTGTGATAAACCCAGGCACATGGGTCAGTTCTCATCACCATCATCATCTTGATTTTGTCATTATTTAGTGTTTTAACATCTTTTCAAAAGATATTACAAAGGTAAACATTTTCCAGAAAACATGACAATAATATTATACATGATCATAGTTTATAATACCGTGATTTTTGATCATGTATAATATTATTGATCATGGTTTTTGGTTGAGTTTGATTTTCTAAAAATGCTGTACTTAAGAAATGTACTTGAGTAGATGTTCTCAGTGACTAACATTTTAGGTATAATGAATAAACTAATGTTTTTATTGAGTAGGTTATATCACAACAAATCCATTAATGCACCATCTCCCCTGACAGCATAACAAAAACAACCTAAATTGTTGTCTTCAGTCTAACTAAAGTGTAGTTTAATTGTTAATCAAAAACTAATATGGTCAAGTATTTGTAAACAAGGGGAAAAAAAATCTCTGTGTTTGAGCTAAGATAATAGTAATTAGTAGCAATGTGATTTCAACATGGTCACTCATTTCTCTGGTGAAGCTGCCTTGGACAAGTAAAAAATAATTACTGTTCACCTGTGGATGTGTTTCAAGTGGGAATATAAAAAAAAAAACAGTAAGCTCAGCCAAGGCCACGAACTGCATCATACAGCATTCATAATTATTTATAGTAAGTCGCTTTATGCAGGAGCATTGGGTGGTTGCGTAGAGTTAACACATAGTGTAATTATTAAATGTAAGTCAATGTAGTGGCTCATTGCGAATGCTCTGTCATACAGCCTGTCTGTGGGTCCCTAATTGTTTGTAGCTACCCCTTGACATCAGTGGTGTTTTTATTGAATCCTGGGTGAACATCACCTTTTCATCCTGACTTTAATCATTCTGATGTTTAAGCTACACACTGATGGAAATCCACTCCCACACAAGCCAAACTTTGACTGAATATACGAACATAGTTTTTAGTGTAAAGCTCTGAAACTTGTGTTATCCAAGGACTGCTGATTTGAAACTTTTAAAACTGCACAGGTTGCAGTGTTTTAGTGAGTAGGAGTTCAAACAACACAAAAGCACACAAAAAGAAGAACACAGAAGACTGGGCCTTCGGATGAGATAATGACCGTGCAGCATGCCTAAGATCCTCCAAAAAAAACATTCTCAGATTTATTTGCAGGGATCCACGTGGAGGGATTTTGGGGGTCTTGTCGATTTTGCTATTCACTTTCTACCTACATGTTGGGATGGGATATGAAAGTGAGAGCTGATATATTAAAGCAAATATCTGTTATATTAAATCTGAGACTATTCATTCTGCTGGGGACCTGCCAACAACTTTCACAAAACCCTGGAGACCACAAGCTCCAAAGCAAAGCACACTGGGTGAAGAACATGTTCAAATAGGGCACTTGTCTGTGACATAAAGACAGCTCTGGAGTCTTTCTGAGTCCTTGCCTGGAGCTGAAAGCCTTTATTTCTCTTTACCCCCACTGGAGGCGTTTTAAAATGATCGATTTTTACATTATTTTAATCCAATGGACTGACGTGTTATTGGAAAGAGGAGTGATGGATCTGGACGTGCAAGAATGGACATTGATCACTGGGAGAAGAGAGGTCGGGCTGTTTCCCCCCTGAGGATCCCACTGACACACTCTCTCACACACACAAACAGACACGCTCACGCACACGGTTGCGCGCTGGTTGTTGGCTGTGGCGGTGTGGGTGTTTGTGTGCGCGCGGGCGCGCGAGCGAGCACGAGTTGATTCGACTCGCTGCCGCTTTGCTGAGAAGTTCATTTCCGATGAGAGAATCCGTTACCGCTGCATCACTCTGCAGATGCATTGCGCCGGCTCTTGTTTGGCATTACGCGCGTAAAAACGGCCGCTTCTGTGTCAGATACTCATCATGACCCGCGTCCTCATCAGTGCGTTTGAGAAGCAAAGATTACTGTTTTCCCGTTAATAAGAGGGGATCCGTCTCTATAGGAAGCCGGTGTGAGGTTGCGCGCAGTTTGCAGCAACTCATGGATTAAGTGTGATCCCTGTGCGAGATCGGAAACGGCGCAAGCAAAAGCAGAGCGAGGAGGGGAACGGAGGTAAGCGCGCACTCGAGCTGTAAGAAGCGTTTTTTTTTCGTGGGACGCGCACAGACAGACAGCGCTGCTGGTGAGACAGCAGATAGAGGAGGACAGAGGAGGAGGAGGACACGCAATACAAACACACAGAGACAAACTTCTCCTGCGTCGGGTTGAAGTATGTTGCCAGCAAATATCTGAGTTCCAATTTAATGGAAGTTTTGGATCATAAAGGGAGGAGAGATATCCCCAAGGAGCGAGTGTACCCATGGATCTTGGTGTAGCACGAGCGCTTTAGTGCAGTGGAACCAGTGAGATATCCAGTCATGATTTGGGTCGCGTTTTTACCCTTTTTGGTTTGGTGCGCACTTGGGAACAGGACCATGGAGCAGGTGCCGTTCTTTCACGGGCATGTGTTTGAGAACTCGTCTCCGGGCTCCCGGGTCAACGGACTGAGCGTCCCGTTGAAACGGCTCAACTCGCAGAGACTGTGCGGTACTGAGGGAACCGGCTCAGCGTCAGCGCACTTTAAACTCTTGGGGGACGGGAGCGAGAATTTCCGTGTCTTTGCGCACAACAAACGGGGGCATATTTTACTTAAGACTTCTGGGGTACTGGACCGGGAGGAGCGGGACGAATACGCACTGGGTCTGGGTTTGTGTTGCGGGCAATGCGCGGGACTCTCCCGGGAAGAGGTTGAGGAGTCTCCGGTAGTAGCTGAGGTGGCGTCCATCAAGGTGGACGTACTGGACACCAACGACCACCAGCCCACCTTCCTCGGTGCCGATGTGAAGCTGAGCCTGGATGATGCCACTGCGCTCCGCACGGCGATCTACACGGTCACCGCGCGGGACGGTGACAGCGGCAAGAACGCGGAGCTCATTTACTTCGCGCTGCCCAAAAACGGGAGTTTCTACGCGGTGCCCAAAACTGGCGACATCCTCCTGGTGGACTCCATCCTCGGTCTGGACGAACCGATTAAGTTTAAAGTGTTTGCCCGGGACCGCGGGTGGCCACCTCGCACGAGTCAGAGCATAACAGTGGAGATCAAGCCAAAGCAATGGCCCATGACGCCCTCGCTAAACTCCCAACCGGGGAAACGGAAACCTAAATCGCAAACTAAAGTACAGTCGCGAAGGTCCAGGTCGGTGCTGGAATCGGACAACCCGGTTTTCATCAACGTGTCAGAGGATGCGGGGATCGGTTCAGTGGTGATGAACCTGAACCCGGTGAGGTTTCAGTCGGCCACGTTTGAGCTGGTGGAGCCCGACCTGGAGAGCTCGCCGGTCAGCGTGAGCCGGGACAGCGGGGATATAGTCATATCGCGGAGGCTGGACCGAGAGACTGAGCCGCTGGTGGAGATCTCCGTCAAAGTTCAGGATAAAAGAGGTGAGCACGCATGTGTGTGAGCGAGCGAGCGAGCGAGCGATCGAGGCTGTGTGTGACTGAGTGTGTGAAAGAAAGAGAGAGCGAGAGAGAGAGAGAGAGAGAGAGACGGTATTGAACACGATGAATACCGCGCGCATTTCTTGTCTGCTGTGCTATCTCTGCGAGACACGTTGTGCGATGTATAAACAGTATTGTCCTGAATTTTACGATGATACATTATTTTTTATGTTATTTGGCTGAATATCTGACCGTGTATATTGTGCGTAAATACGCACGTAGGGAAGGAGTGAGTCGAAGTGCAGTTCTGAACACAGTAGAGTGGCTTTGAACAGTGAGCAAACCCACATGAATGAGTGAAAAACACACATTCCCATGCTGTGATAAGTGCCATCCTGAGTGCTGACAACTCAGGTACCTTGCTACCTCAGTTTACACCTCCAGTATTCCCCAGACAGCCTCACTGCCATGCAGTGCAGGTGCAATCCTGCTTAGACTCTTGAGATCAGAAGAGATCAGGCTGGCGCACGAGGGAGTCTGGCTGTAAGCAGTGTCAAAATGACCAGCATCTATACGATAGAGGTTAAACTGAGTGACGTTCATCAGCGCTGATGATGATTCATGTGTTTGGATGACTTAGGGCAACGTGAATGCATCTGCTGATGCTGCCAGCAGCAACAGATGCTGGGACGTCAGGGGAGAAGCGCGGCGCGTAACGGACACTGTACCAACAGGTTAATTATCACCTGCGGATAACGCAGAGGGAGAGCAGGGAAACAAAGGCGAAGTTAACACGCAGCCATATTCACATTAATAAATGCATATGTGCAGGAATAAAAAAACGGGGCTAATTGACTGTGACACTGAGGACTGGAGACTGGAATATAGAGTGTAACAACAATATGTATCCTCCAATATTGAGTTTGCACTTGCTTCTATCTATTTATCTATTTATCTGTCCATCTTTCTGGACGGAAGCAGTTCCACGGTTTGTTCCATTAAGACCAGTTAACGGCATTTGACTGGGGGAGTGACCTAATCAATGTGACCTATTGGTCTTGGTAATGTTAACTGTCCTGATGCAGAAAAGAAGCTGAGCCTGCTCTTGGCACATAAAGGCTATTCGCACTCCCAGTGACCACACACAGAGTTGGCACAATGACATTATTAAACACATTCATATTGATGGAAAACCTTTATGTTTTGTGTGTCAAATGTGAAAGTGTAACTTACTGTTGCAGTATTACAGCATCATCAGAGAGTTCCCTTTGTTGTGCTTCACAGGACAGCTGCTGTTTTATTTTAAGGAGGCACCCAGTTGGGACTTTTGGCACCCAAACCTGTATTGTTGTAGGAATGTCTCCTGTTTTTTATTATTATTTTTAATTCAAGCAAGTTAAACAACGTTGATGAAATGTGTTAATAGACCATGTCCTTCCCTTCACTCTGTCAAAAGTTAAACTATTTTCACCATCTCTGATTATACATTTCCATCAGGAGAGACTAATACTGTTAGAGGAACAAAAGAGTGTGAAAAATTTAAGTAAAATGGAATTCATTGTGAACAGAAGGAATAGACTTTGGTGCTTAGTCCCCGGCAGGAAGTGGATCTCCATGGAATTAGAGGAAACTTCCCCCAGAGCCTTGACACTGGCGATGAGGAATGGAGCTCGAGGACGGGAACGTCTTCGTGAGAGGGAAACTTCTGATCAAATGGTTTGACTGGATATTTTTGAGGTGGTGAAAGGGTGGAGGTGGGTCACGAAATGTTCGCAGTACTGAATGACAGCAAAGAGAGACACTTTTAAAGTTTGACAGCTTAAAAGTGATTGGCTGAAGCCCCATGCGTGAAGTTGTGATTGGATGGAGACGAGAACGAGCTGGTTGAGCTTAGAGATAGATGCTTATGACTTAAAAAGCATGCGCAATAATTATTTTCACAAATGAAAAGGAGTCAAACACACAGGAGATAGTTACTTTGAGTAGTATGAAGAGTGAATTGGTGACAAGATCTTATTGTGAAATGTTAAAGATGTAAATAGTGTGAATGAGAGGCAGCGACAGTGTCATCTGTATTTTTATGAAATGAAAGTTTAGTGTCTGGGAAGTGCATTTTAATCTGTAATCCAGCTCAGTCCAGCCAGATAGAATAATGAAAAGTTATATATTAAGTGTAAAATGGCTTAGCGTGTTTGAAGATTAAAGACACATAACATATTTTTGCTCATGTGGCCAAATCCCTGGCTGACCAGTGCTGGTCTGGGTGATTGGATCTTCAGTGTTCCCTGGGGAGCTTCTACATCTGAATTTGGATGCATTTTGCTCCAACAGGATGCACATTAATACAAAGTTTAAAGCGGAGGATCAGCG